TGTTTGTGTGTGTGTGCATATGTGTTTTAGCTAATTTAAGGTATGTATAGATGTATGTTTTTTAATGAGAGACTGACAGTATGTGTGTATGTGACAGACAAACAAACAGTACCTGGCCCACAATGCTACAGTCAATACACACATTATAAATTCATTTAACGCGTTGCTCTTCATTAAAGGCCATTTCATGTTGTCGAAATTAATGAGTTTTTCAGTTGTGTATAATGAGAATACTGTCCATTTTTTTTCTTTCTTTTTTCTTACATTTATGAACACTGACGATATGTTTACGAAATTTGGTAAAAACTTTTGAATTTAGAAATCTATTTGATGGTATAGCACTGTAGTGGATGAAAAAAGATAGTGTAGATGATAGTGTGGTGGATGTAGTGTAGATGAGAGTTCAGTGGATGTAGTGTAGATGATAGTGTAGTGGATGAAGTGTAGATGAGAGTGTAGTGGATGAAGTGTAGTGGATGAAGTGCAGTGGATGAAGAAGGGTATAGAGTTGCACAGTCGCCCCCAAAATTCATCCATATTGTGAATTTTAACAACTCGCATGACATTACCATACAAAATCCAATAAAATTAAAGTGTAGGAAAATTTCACATCAAAACATATTCTACTAACTAGGAAAAATGAATAAGTTTCCGTAATCTTTCATGCACAATTTAATCTGACAATTAGGTGTCATTTTGAAAGCAGTAATATCCCTCGTTTAGATAAGTGTCAATAATGCATAGCTTACAGTGGTAATAAATAGTAGTTATTGGTTATAGCCATTTTGATACACAGTCATAATTATCATTATACTTTATACAAATATTTCATGAGTTCCTTCTGCTACGTATATACTTAGTCGCCTGAAAATGATGATAGAAAACGTGTATGTAACTTTTAGGGGGTAACTAAGGTGTACATGAAGCTCTCAAAAATAATGTTGCAAAGTTTATATATTTTAGGGTATTAAAAATAAACTGATTAATAAGTGTACTATAGATATGATGAACAGTAATTCCGGTAAGCTAATGGTAAGAGGTATAATTTCTGTAGTTATTAATGAGACAGAGAATGAGGGCTGACATCATCAATCCCTGCAATTGTCGTGTAATTAGTAAGGAATTATTGAACGTAAACATTTACTTTCATTTATTCGTTAAAGTTGCAGAACAAATATATGAAACACAAACACCTCCTGAGTTCACACAGAGTTCTGATGACCCGAGAGGCCGTCACGGGACCTTGGTTGTTCTTACATTGATTTTCTCTTAAACGTGTACAATTCATAATGTATCGTGCTCGTATTTAAGTAATATTCAATTTATATATTTTCCTAATAGAAGTACACCATATGCTTAAGTGTGTCACTAATGATCATGTTCCGGTTTCACGTTGCTAAAATCACAGACAATGTAATAAACAGTGTCCAGAATTGAGCAACATTAGTTAGTTGTCAGCCACGATTATCTGGCCGAGAAACAGTTCAAGTGTCAAGAGTCTTTTCCTGGAAGCTGTACATGGACTGGGACACACAGAGACACCTGGTCACGCTGCTGGGGGTAAAACACGACGTATCTCTTGTTGACAGACAGAGATACATTCTTTTCCCTCAACTTTTGTCTTTCTTAAAAAAAAAAAAACTTTTAATCCTGAATCATCAAACTGACGTGTGTAATAGCTGGTCTAATAGACCCGGGAGTCCATAATACGCTTTACTTGGCATAATAAGCTTACTATGTAATTTTAATGTTAAATCCATGGCCTTCACGTCCAGGGAGGGAGGACGGGAGGGAGAGAGAGAGAAAGGGGGGGGGGAGGGAAGGAAGGAAGGGAGGGAGGGAGAGAAGAAGGGGCATTTATAAGCTGTCTTTTAAAAGGGGGATAGAGAAGGAATGTTAGAGGAGGAAGGCTGGAGTAGAGGACTTTCAGAGAGGCCTTGGGTAGGAAGGGCTTAGGGTGCGGGCGTAAGGAGGGCAAGTCTTGGGGTAGAAAGCTCTGGAGTAAGAAAGGTCTAGGATAAATCTCTGGGTGTCGGAGAGGTCTGAGTATAGAGGCTGGAGTAGGAGAAATCTGAGGTAACGTAGGGAAGGGGAAGAGACCTCGCCCCTGGGAAGGAAGGAAGGAGAGTGGAAGGGACACTGTGGGTGGAGACTGATGTGTCCTAAGGGTTTGGTCGCCGCCGGTTAATTGCATTTGCCCGACAAGTAATGGAGCAGACGGGGGTTCCAGGTACCTCATAATGTAGGGGAGAGGCGAGTCATGTTGCCTCGCCTTGGTGTTCCTTGTCCGCCAGTGATGAAGACGCTATTTAAATCTACCTTGTTCTTCTGTAATTCAATTTGTTTCATGTCCGCTAACACCATCAGAAGACTTTGCACCACTAAAAAGAGCCTTTGGAGTTGGTTTTCTTCCTTGATTCAACCTTGAGAACCCATTTTTTTTTAATCGAGATATAGTTTCTTGGTAATCGTCTTATGTATACCATCAAGATTATATGTATACATAATTTAAAAACATTTACATAATATATATTTTTAATTGATTTGTACGTTCACGTCAACACTATTAACAACTTTCACTTTGGAGCGCCTGAAGAATTACCCTCCCTCCCCGCCCCCAGCTTATTTCACCTTATGACCCCGAGGCTTCAGTTCATGTCATATAATGTTTTGTAATTTCCCGGTACCTGGCTAGATTATGTTACCAAGTAGGTATTTTATCTTCCACTCACTCATGCGATGTTCCCATTCTCTGTTCTAAAAAATTCAAAACTTCAAAGTAATCTAGTCACCTTGCACTTCCCCCCCCCCCCTCCACCCCACCATATGTCCTTACCCCCAAATGCATGTGCAGTCGCGGTCTCTTCACCACCAGCAGTTTCGTGATCAATTACTGGAGGCAATAATGATGATTATAAATAGTAATAACATAACAAAACGCGTCCTGTACCTCATACTGGCTACAAATCACTGTTGTTTACCTCGCACTGCCAACCAAAACAGAGAGTTCTGTCTCTCGTAATTTTTAATGTTAGGTGCATGAAGACCTCTGTTGTTGAAGCACAGTAATAACATTATGACAACAACAACAACTGCCATCCTCACCCAACTGCGTCACAATATCGACACTTCCTAGCCCCTGTGATGCCAACCTGTGGTAAGGACGTGTATTTCTTTACTGTTTATGTCATGCATGGTTAGGTTAGCTTCGGTTCGGTTCGGTTCGGTTTGGTTTGGTTTGGTTCGGGTAAGTTAAGTTAGGTTCGGGTAAGTTAAGTTAGGTTCGGGTAAGTTAGGTTAGGTTCGGGTAGGTTATTTTACCTATTAGCGATATTTGTTTTTCACACCGGTTACTAAAAGAATAATCTGTTTACGTATCTCTGAGGCTGCCAGTAGATGGTTTTTAGTAAGGATCACCATCAATGAATAAAATGACAGTTCTCGTAAATAGTTTCTAAATGCCACGAGTTCGGGCGATGTAAATATATTTTTGTCTTCAGAAATATAGGAAAAAATATGACCCTCATTGAAAGTTTACGAATACATCAAAACTTTAGTGAATATAATAGCGGCTGAGTCCTGTTATTGTAAACCTCAGATGATGTAACTCCTCTACATCAGTGTTTTGTCTTGTAGATCTTAATCTCTCTCTCTCTCTCTCTCTCTCTCTCTCTCTCTCTCCTAAACGCTCTTTCCTCCCAACTGAAAAATCATCTCATTTCATAATTCTCTAAAAAGGTAAAAGATTAAGATATCTAAGCACAGGACAGGTTATGAACATGTTCTTGACGACTCATAAATATGTTAAGGACAGATCACGCGTGAAGTTACGTACAGTATTATGAATGTGATCTGCATATTCACGAACTTTGGTCTAGACAGATTATAATCGTGTTCAAGACAAGACAAAGACAGGGTTAGGATGAGTCCCTCAACGTAAACAACGACTTCTGGGAATCTTGAGCCTTCAGCGTGGGATAGTCACATTTATTATTCCCAGGACTATGACCATTGTTTGGGAGAACGGTGAAGCTCCTAGAGTTATTTAAAGGGAACTACTACAGTGTTTAGTGCCCGAGAGTAAAGGTTGTAAGACTGATGATACAAGCTGTGAAAGAGACTGAGAGCCTTGTGTAGATCTGTACACTAGAATTCAAAAAAAAAAAAAAAATCGAGATGGTGATGAATGAACATAGTAGAGTCTGCAGGGGAGCGGTGAGGAGGAGCCAAGGTGTGGGGAGGTCAACCAGAGCCTGGGGGAGATTATGTATCGTCCTTGTTCCCACCTGTGTCTGGGGAGATAACACACACACATTGAAATACTACAAGTGTGAATTAATGCGTCACCAGTAACCAGTCGTAGGGTTCTATTTCGTCGGTGCTTCAATACATTATAAAAAAATATTCTTCCTTTATTATAGAATTGTGAATCAATATCTATGACCTGACACATAATATCCTGATAGTTTTGCAGGAGTAATGTGTCCAACAGAAACAATATTTAAGATAAGGGGTGTGTTGTGTTGTGTGTTTGATGGAGTGGTGATGGTGTGTTGAGAGAGCTGTGTAGTGTATCTCTGTAATATCTCTCTTTTTAAATGAGTGATTTATGGCGTTATGATGATGGTAGTGTTTTTGTAAATTGTTTCTGTGTTGGTAATGGTGCCGTCATGTATGTTATACTGGCCCGCTCCCTGCAACCCCTCCTCCCCACCGCTGCCCATCTTTCAGCTACTCTGTGTGTGTGTGCTCATGAGTGTTTGTGCGCTCGCGTTTGTTTGTGTCACTGTGTGTATGAGTTTTATATCAGTTACATCGGTCAATAAACTTGGGACACATCTTCTCATTTACGCCCCTAAGTCCTTCCAAAGAATTGGTTTGTTCAGCAAATTATTCCAAACATCACAAGTACAAACCACTAAAACTGAGCCCATAGACGGGTATAGCACACTGAAGACTAAGCCTTTTTTCGATTAGCCGGGCCACGAACTAACGACCCTTCACATAAGAGTCTCGAGCTGTGTCCACTCTGCTTCCTCACTACATAAATCATAATCCTGTCAATAAACAATACATCGTTATCTACTTAACATACAAAGATGCAAAAGTAGAAATATGTTGATTTATGAAAAAAATACGATAAAGTAAAGTAGTAAAGTGCGAGAAAAATATTGTCAATGTCATTATTTGTCTCAATGTTTATCTATTACAAGTTATAAGAGACGATATACATTACATTTGCTCTCGACAATGTTTAGATTCTTGGTGTGATTATTAGTATTCGCTATTTCTCACCGCTATATATCTCCTTTATATAATATATCTCCTACATAATATATTTCCTCCACATAGTATATCTTTTCCGTGTAATATATCGCAGTAAACACGTCTCTCTGTCGGCGCCACGTCACATCGGCTGGGAGTAAAATATCTAAGACTCGCATATCCAAACAGGTCGTCTTGGTGAGCACCTCACAATTCTCTGACACACTTGTCTTAACTACAGAAATGTGAAATGCATTCTCCTCCAGCCAGCGTGAAGACATCTGTCATTTCTCCAGCTCCCAGTCTGTGTCCTCACTCCTATCTCTGGAAAAGTAAAATAAAAAAATGTATATACTTTCAAGGAAAACTTTCTCTTCAGTTTTCCCTGGGCGATGGAAACTTATAAAATTAGATTATGCCGCTCTGTAACTCGGCTTTTCTCACACGGAAAGAATAAAGCGTTTCACTGGATTCCACCAATAGGAAAATGTCATCGCGGCCCTACTGCAAGAAGGTCCTACAGGGAGGGTTGCTTTCAGAGGCGATGTTAGCACACAAAAGCTATTGATGACCACCCCTGGAGGAGCCGCTTGCCCGACTCTGTCCTGTCCCCGCTGCTGAAGAAGGATCTTCATGGGCCGGGCGTCCTCTAACGAGGTCTTTCACGTCAACATCAGGATGCAGGAGGCAGAGCTGGTGATCAGGGTGGCCTGCTGCTTTAATCTCGGTCTCGCTCCTTTAACGCTAGTCTCAATTGTGGTTTCTAAGAGGAGGTCTTAATCGGGACGACCTCTGGTGGGGTGCTCAGGGGAGGGGGTCCTAATAACCGTTTGTTTTCGGGAGAGGAGCTGGGGGCGTGAGCTGCCCAGCCTGGAGGGATTACTGACAAATCTTACGCTGTGCTAGCCTGCCTGACTTGCTGGATCCTGGGGCCAGGCTAGAGTCTTCTCTCTCTCTCTCTCTCTCTCTCTTTCTCTCTCTCCCTCCCATACAGTGGCGCTGTTCACTTCTATCGCTCCCGTTTTAGAAGGTTTATGGCGACATTATCAGCACTCATTTAAATTACTTCATATTACCGTTTAACGTTTCCATTTCTTTAAGGTTAGGTTAAACTAACGCATAGCGGTTACCACACAGACTCCTAAAAATTATTTGTATTTGCTTAGCAATTTTGAAATATTAGCCAGTTAAAGACACTTACCTATTCATTTATATGGACGGTATCCATTTAAAGCCAAAGGCAGCTATTTACGTACTGTTTCAACATACCTTCACTGAAGCAGGATTGTAAATTCAGTGTGATGAAGTATGGATTCACCTGAGGTGCCTCTGGTCACCTGGGGAGCACCACAGCCGCTCGGCAGAACGTAACGTAGAGAACGTTCTTCTTCCCTCCCTGCCCTCCCTCCCGCCTCGACCTTTACTGTCAAATTTAACTTCATACATTATTTACTTATTTTCCTTCTTGTACTCCAGAAAAAATATATAATTCATCATTATTCCTATTTGATGATGATGATGATGATGATGATGATGATGATGATGATAACATTCAGCTTCTTCCTCCACAGTTTTTCCTTTTTTCAACATGTACGATTTCTAATATAAAGATAAACGTTATTTGCTGTTATTGTTTGTTCTTATTTACCCAACACGATCGACTTGAGGACAGTATATGTTAGCCTCGCTCAAGAACCAATACGATTCGATATGTTGGCGGGAAAAACAGCGTTATTGGCCTTTTATCCGAAGTAGGAGGAATGTGCTGCTGTATTGACTTGTCTCGCTAAATTATTTCTTTATCTGTATTTAGTCAAGGATTCCATAACTCTTATTTCATTAAAAACTCTTATTCAGAGCCAGGTCCTACTATACCGGTGAACATTTGGCAACAATTTATGTTAGTCATGTGGTCTTTAATATTGCTGTCATCTGTGGCCTGGGTGTGGTGTATGGGTTGGATGTGGTGTAGGGGCACTGTGGGCAGGGTGTGGTGACGAGCTACACCACAAGACTACCACCAAGCACCCTTCATTGGTCTAGGAAAACGTCTGGGAAGATCAGTGACTTTTTCTGTTGAAATTCCCTGCTTCACACTTTTTCAGTCTGTGGCACAGGAACAGCGCCTCGATAATTAGATATGACATCGACACTTGCCTAATGTCTCCTTGCACCATTTACTTATTTAAAAAAACATATATTAGAATCCTTTTTTTTCGAACCTTTATTGCTTTTTGGTGTTTTTTTTATCATTATAATTCACCGACAAGATCTTGAAGGGAACCTTCACCTCTTTTTTTTTGTCAATATTAAAGATCAAACTCAACTTGTCACAGAAGATAAAGGCGATGCGTTACTTGAGTTTTTTTTAACCAGCCGTCAACACCATCCATCCAGTCTAACTATCCACTCCACCCCACCAATCTAATCATTCCATCCAGCCCACCCTACCACTCCAGCCGTCCAGACCAGCCCGTCGACCTACACACTCAAAATTTATACACTCGTCTCTTTCTTAGCCTGACCTGAACATGAGGTCGATCACTCCAACACGTAGAAATGAGATTGTGTTCCTTGTGTCCCCTGGTCCTCTGGTGGTGTGAAGACAGTGCCAATTGGCCGTCTGGGCGTGGCAGCTCACCCGCCAGCGAGAATACACCACTGACTGACTTCACGTAACAATTTTTATTTTACTTGGGAGGTTTTTAAGACGGGTTTTGTTTGGCAGGGGAATTCTTTTTTGTATTGAGGATTTTGACTTTTTTTTATGGATCGCTTTGATTATTATTTTTTTTTTACAGGAATTGCCTATGTACTCCCTGTACATAGGCCTTCCTGTAAAAAAAAAATAATACTCAAGGTGATCAATAAAAAAAACATCTTGGCAGTATTTTACAAAGTTTTTATATATATTTTTTTTTATCGATTTTAAAATAAGGATTTTCATTTGAGGTATTATAAGCAAGGTTTAACACAACTTTTTTTTTTTTACACTAGATTTTACCATTTATCAGGAATTTGTTTACACCAGTCCCGAAAAGTAACGATGCTGTAGCTACCTAGACGAGCTGCTTCTGGCTTGACAAACTTAGTATGAAAGACACTTGATGTTAAACTATTCGACCTTGTTTAGCCCAGTTCCCTTCCGTCTTTCGTGACCAGACTGATAATATATTTCCTACGTGACTTTTATTTAATTTTTTATCGTGTACCTTATCGCATCCACTGACCAATTCTTGGATTAAAGGCTAATATACTATACTTATGTGGATACTGCATGGTGGTTATCGTTCACAGAGTGGGTGGGATTATGAACCGGTCTTTATCCACAGATTTTTCTTAATAACCGCAACAATAAAACAACATAAACAATAATGATGATGAATGATGATAATGGACACTTATGAAATGGCCGAAAGGAAATGTTATGAGTCGGTACAAATATGAAGCGATAGTGGGCGTGATCCCTTGAGCCTCGAGTGGAGTCTGATGATACACAGTGGGAGGGTAGAAAAAAATTGAGAACAAATAAGAGACAGAGGAGGAAGTGAGAGAGAGAGAGAGACGAGGAGGGAAAGAAAGACAGAAGAAGAAAAGAGAGGAAATCAAGGAGGAAGAGAGAGACAGTTGAGGAAAAGGAAGGAAAACAGGAGGAAAGTAAAATTTATGTCTTTGGTGAATCGTTGTGTTAACTCTTGTGCTTGTTGATATGAGGAAAATGTATTGGAGTGTAAAGTTACCACGGTCATGCACACAACTCAGGCATCCTCTCTCTCTCTCTCTCTCTCTCTCTCTCTCTCTCTCTCTCTCTCTCTCTCTCTCACACACACAATACTCCTGGCCTGGATGACAGTTGGTGGCAGCACAAATAATTCCTCTCCAATAACTGGGCGTAGCAGTGTACACCAACCCTCCCTACTATCCCCACACCAGCCTTCCCCTGACCTCCCCCTCCGGCCTCCTCTCTACCTCCTCCTGACCTCCCCCCTCCCCCCTCGTCCTCCTACTCCTCCTCTACTATCACTCCCCCACCTCCCTCTCCTTCTCCACACAATACCCCTGACAGAGTACTTCCAATACAACAGTTTTTATTGTGAGATTTTTTCCCCAGTCAAGTTTCCCAAAAAGCTGTGGATGGAGAGAGAGAGAGAGAGAGAGAGAGAGAGAGAGAGAGAGAGAGACTGTGTTTTAGTGATGGAAAGTGAGAGACCCTACGCATATTTAAGTGAGAGACAGTATCTGTAACACAGTAACGGACAGTGAGAGACAGAAGGTACTGCCGAGCGTTCCATAAACACAGTACCGGACAGAATCTTAACTTGGATTTGACAGTAATTCTTTCCTTCTTCCTATTTTACTACAACAAAGACGACAGTTGTTTATTTTTTCTATGGGTAGTGGTAGTAGTCCTTTCTTCCTCTAGTTTCTAGGATGCCAACGTGGTGTCCCGTATACCACCAACGTAAGGAGATGTGTCGTGTACTAAGTTAGCCTGGTGTGTGTCGCTCCGGGTGGTGGGGCCATGTGGTCTGATGCTTTGTGTCTCTTGTTATTCGTTCTCTTGTTATCCTACGTTGCTTCCTGTAGGGGGGGGGGATGTGAGATTAGTACAGGTCCGTGTGGTTGTGTGTATGTCTGGGTACTGTTACGAGTTGGGGATTTAGAATATAGTTATACGTCTACCCAGATCCCAACAGGTAACAACAATAAAAAAAAAACAAAGACAATCGGACTATAAAAGGGTAGACAAAGGATGCGAGTTTTCGTTGTATATAATAGAGTACCATAAATC